TTAACATCATCAAATGCAGTACTGATGGTGACATTTTACACAGCAGAAAAATGGTTCCTTAAATGGAATAAGAGAGCTGTATTAAATGGATATAAATTAAGGGATGTCATGAGAACTGTAATTAGGTAGAGCATTTCTTTCCAGTAATATATAAACACTCTGTAACGTGCATTTGTGCAGAGCAGGAAAAAATGCTAAGGTTGAATTTTAGTGAAGAGAAGGAAAATGGATGTTTGAAAGTATTGGAAAAGATAAGATACTTTAAAGTAATGAATCTTATACACACTTTATTACCAAAATTTATTTTTGCATTTCTGTGAAAATAATCAGATAAAGGTTTTTAGAGTAATAACAGAAATTCAAATACATCCCTTGACACTTGCAAAAATTTGGGAAATGAAAGAGCTTCTTTGCTATTTGCTTGGAGAGTAAAATATAAATTAGTATCTACAGCTTAATGTGCTAATTTGGCCTCACATTAAAAGTAGACAGGTGTAGAATGCAAAAGACAATGAGCATGGGTAATAACAAAGCATATATCACATCTGAGAAGCTTCTAATCTACAGAAACAACAATTCTTTCCATGCCAATCTGTAAGGTATGAAAAGAAGAAAAGGATTTCTTCATGCAATGCTGTATATTCACCGCAGCAGTTTATACATACAGACTTGCACCCCATGATACTCTGAATCCCACCAATCTTAAAATATTTAAGGTATAACTCTAATCTTAAGTGAAAGCTTAACAGCATTAACACATGCTTGAAGTAACATTCCATGTCAGGAAAAGCCACCAGTATGCCAAGACAATGAACACTAGTCTAATTTGAAAAGAAGTATTTCTAAAATAGGTAATACTTTTTTCACTACTTTTGACTTACAGATTTTTTAAGTGAAATGCCCAAATTGAGTAAGATCCAAAACAAAAGTGAGACATGAAGCAGTGCTTGTTCCAATACTGACCCCTGAGGAACGCCACTCATCACTGGTATCCACATACAGTTTCAACCAGATCCTTATCAGACATAATGTCTAAAGTATGATTACAGTCTCCTGCATCTATGGCATTGCCCCTGCCAGACTTCTTGCCAGCTTCTGGACAACTACAAAACCTGTATTTTCAACAGTTAAATGACCCACAGGCTCCGAGTTCTCCCATGACCAATGGACGTCAGTCACTTCTCAATGCAGAAGTTGTCACTCCAGCGTCCATCTCATGCCTAAGCCTTCGCTGGATCAATTCCACATCAGAACATGCAGACTCTTCCCCAGGTCACAGAGTGGGATTCTGAATGCCTTTTCTCCTGCCCCACAGATCTGCTAGTCCTCACTGTGTTCAGCTTAAGTGCCATGGCCCATGATAGACAAAATAAATAACAGTATTTTGGTCCAAAAAAGGGTATCTGCAAAAATGGGAGTTTATAATCTACCCATAAGATGTGTAAATGCAGAAGGACTCAATGTTTTGTGGATCCAAGTCTTATCCCAGTATAACATCCCATAAGAAAGGGCTGTAAGGTTCTCTAGAAAGATCTAGGAATATTCTTCTTCATACCACCTTCTCTCAGCTCAGGCAGCTGTTTCTCGCTGTTCCAATATACATTGTAAAGCCTGTTACATGGACAATTCCCAGTTACAACTAAAAGTTGGTTTCATGTTGCAGAGTAGTTTACCCAGGCCTGTAATCAGGAACTTCGTTCTGAATACTAAAATCAGCTCCTAGGATAATTCAGGCTGCAAAGACCTCAGGAGGTCTTTAGTCCAATCTCCTGCTCAAAGCAGAGTAATTTCTGAGATCAGACCAGGCTGCCCAGTGCTCTGCCCTGCTGGGTCTTGAAAATCTCCAGCGACAGACTGCACAGCCTTTCTGGGCTGCCTCTTCCACTGCCTGACTCTCCTCATGGGAAAAATGTTTTTCCTTCTACCCAGTCTGAATTCCTCTTGTTTCAATTTATGCCTGTGGCTTCTTGTCTCTCTCCATGCTCTGCCTGATTCCACCTTCTTGCTAACTTCCTCATAGGTATTGGGGGAGGCTGTTGGTTGCCCTCTGAAGCTGTCTGTTTCAGGCTAATCAAACCCAGTTTGGGGGCCGCTGCTGAACTCACTCCAATTTGTCAATCTCTTTCTTGCATCTGTGGGCTCAAAACCAGATGCAGTATCTTGATGTAGTCTCATGAGTGCTGGGAAATAGGAAATGATCCCTTCCCACAGTCCAAAGGCTGCATCCCTGTCCATACATGATGCAGCTAGCTGTCCTTGCTGCCAGGGCACACAGCTGCCTACCAGGTCCCCAGGGTGGGCTGTTCCTTCAGAGCTGGGCTGCTGCAGGGGTGCTTTCCTCCTGGGGACAGCACTTCGCATTTGTCCTTGGTGAATCTCACAAGGTCCTCTTAGTTCTTGTAGTACCCCAGCTTGTCCTTTTTGGGGATGGGTGCAACATTTGGCTTTCTCCAGTTGTTTGGGACCTCTAAGTATCTAGGATCTTTCAAAGACGACAGATAATGGAGAATCATGTTTTATACATGAGGACGTGGTTAAATACAATTTGCTCCTATTTGTTACAGGGAAAAAAAAAAAAGAAGGAATTTTAACAATGCTAAAGAGACATCCCTTTATTCAGATACCTCAAATGCAGTGGGTGAAATCTTGGTTCTCTGGAAGTCTCTGGCAAAGCTCCTGCTGCATCCAGAGGGAAATGTAATGGCATTTATAGTGCAGTTAGGACTCGGATTCCCTTGCTCTGAAGCTGTTATTTGTCAAAGTAATTGAAAGCAACTCTTATTTTTTGAAATCCACCTATGTTTGTTGTAAGCATGACTCAAAGCCCCCCAACAGTGGAAGGACTATAATTTTTTAGTGTACATTAGATTAGACATGTAGTATGAAAAATTCTGTAATTAATTAACCTTGTTATATCAAGGGAAAAAGATAAGATCTGCTGGGAGCTCCTAGGTGCAAAGCTATGAGGGTTAGTACTGGTGTGCTGTGCTCTATGTATCTCTGCTATTTTGCATTATTTTAATTACAAGAACAGAGGAAATTTTCAGAAGAGATTAAATTGATGCAATGGGTCATTCTTCTAATTAATCTTAGGAAACTATGCAGATTTCATTGCTGTGGGAACGCTTGGGCTAAGCGTATTTATTTTACTTTGTCTAAATCTAAAAGTTATTTTATCTGAAATTGTCTTTCTACCTGACAATCAAAGAAATTGTGGGTTCCTGTAGGGATTAAGTCAGGAAGCAGTTTTTAACAACAACAAATTGAAACGTTTACACAAGGAAGTGTTGCTTTTATAAGTGATGGGAAACTTCAAATTTGATTACAAGCAACCTTTGGCTTCCTATCTGTTCAACAATAGGCCATGTTGTTAAGGGCAATTTCCATGCACAGCATGTGGGTCCCATTTTTTCATCCTTAGACATGGTTGTTTACTGTTCAGAACTGTTTATGCATTTTAATCAGGCTTATTCAGCAGCCCTTAATAAATCACCACTAAGTGAATGTACCAAAACAAGAACTATTATACGGGATTTGTTCCTCTTTTGCAGTATTTGCTGCCCTCAGGTTCCACTGGATATAAAAATAAAGAGTAAATGGGTAATTGAGTCAAAAGAATAATTATGAGGCATATGATTTTAATGCCTTTTGCTGAGCTGTTGCCTCCAGCAACTTCCGCTAGCTACAGGAGCCTGACTTTAAATTCAGCCCGGGCCAAAATGACTTAACAATTGGAACCTGCCTTCAGCTCATGGCACTGGAAGGCTTTTTGATGGGATGAAGCTGACAGCCCAGTTCCTCCCTGGCAGACGTTCACATAAGACAAGGCTGAAGTCATATAGATAAGCGCTTAAGTATTAAGGTATCTAGGTTTCTGGAAACAACGGCTGAGAGTACTGTTGGGAAGCAATTGATACACAGAAGTAAATACATCTTTCTGGCTATTCATATCAGGAACAACCAGAAAAATAATTTTTTTCTGTAGTCTGGTGAACAAAAGAATTCCAGGGGAATTTTATAAGTCCTAATGGTTTTATGTGATAGCTCTAGTTCATAAATAGAAAGAATTTCCAGAAATGAAGTTATTTAATTTTCAACAAAGGAGTATTTAATCTTGACAGATTTTTCTAATCCTGCTTTTACTGGATTTTACTGGATTACCACCCTTCCTGTGAAAAACATGGGAATTTTACAGACCTAAAGATAAATGCAGGAAAGATGTGACACACATGGCATGGTGCTCTACACACGTCAAAGAGTTATTTCTGGGAAAAACAAAATTAAAACACAACAACAAAAAAGACTTGTATCTTGTAGGGCAGACTTTCCTAGAAATTACTACTGAAACACAAAATACCATTTTGGAGATTATTTAGCAGCATCCTTGCCTCAGCCTGCAATTTTAGCCACTAGGAGAAATTATGGTGCATAGATCTGAGCACTATTCTCTTTGCTTGCAGAAATCCTGGCCTCCTTTGGCTCAGTGTGCTTGGTCAGGCTGCCCAGTCCCTATATTGCTTGTAGCAATAAAACCTTTGTCCAGCAGTCAGCAGCCATGTAAGATTCCTACCTACTCTCCTGCTGGACCATAACCTTTACTGCAGCTTCACAAACCTTTTCTTCTCTCCCCCAACCCCATCAATTGTTGGTGAAGTATTTATGCTTGTTTCCTAAGAGACAGGATATTTGGGGGTTTTGCTGCAATCTGTTATTGTTTACCACAATAATGAAAGGTTCCTTTCTAGGCAGAAAAAATTGCCACAACACAGCAAAACTCTGATAAATAGTGAGATTTCCTTTGGGAAATTATAAGGCCTGGTTCTCCAATAGCCTGACTAACATGAAGGGTCTTGACTTTAGCAATGCTCAGCTGTGATGACGGTATGTAACCTTTCAGCTAGCTCGATCAGATAAGCTTGAGCCTTTCAAGAATACCACACAGAAATACTACTATTTTCTTTGGTAACACCTTGGCTAGACTTACACAAAAGATGATCCCAAATTGTGTAGGCAAAGTGCTCAATTACTAATATCAAACTGGCAATTACACTGTCCTTCCTTTGAAAATAGATTACAGTCATTCCACCTGCAGATAGAGGAAAGATATTGTCATTGGATAAATGAATGGCTATATTCAACAAAAACGCTGTTTTATTTCTTTGTTATCAAGGAAAATGTGGACAAACGTCTGTTTCTTGTGCACCATTTGCAAAGTATGTCCAGCTCAGACCACACTGTCCTCTTTGCTCTGAATTTAGATCTTTTTGTTTTGCTTCTCTTGGTTCAAAAAAAAAAAAAAATCTTCATAAAAATCTCCATGATGTTATGATGATGTGCAGTGAAAAGAAACTGCCACAGTAAAACCAGTCCAGTTTCTATTCATTATTACCTGAGTGGGACTTTTGCTTGACCACATAATAGTATTGTAAATGTTGGGTTGAGACCTAGCTGTCAAGATTTTACTTCTTTCACAACTGTAGAAGCTATTTGTGTTTTTCTTTGCCTTGAAATTTCATTATAGTACCTAACACTTCAGTTAGGAAGTGCCAGAGTCATCCAAGCCAGCCATTTGGGACCTAAACAAATTGTGAACCTTCACCTCTGGAGGGTAAAAGGCTTCTGAATGCAATAATCCACATCACGTGCTCCCCTGAGTCACATTACAAAGTTTAAAATAAATTAATTATGTCAAGAAATGGGCAAATAGTCTCTTTTTCATACACATCCCTCCCCTTGATTCTCTGGTATTTTTTGAGAAATGATTATTTCTGGTGTTTAAGGAAGAATGCTTAAGAAAATAACTGACATTCTTTTCAAAAGAAGCATGAAGAGAGTATGTACCCTCTTACAGTATGATGCTGACTGATTTCTCTTTTAATAGCATTAGCTGCATGTGTCTTATTGTAGGGCCCTTCTACGTATAAGTAAGGAAACTAGTATGCTAATAGAAACATACGTAGGGAAAAGACTCCCCATCTCTCCCACTTATTTTGAGACAGACTCACCTGTGCTCAAGCAGAGCAACAGCATGCTGTACCCTCTGACCTGAAGACACTAAAGCTTCTGTAACTGTGGCAGCAGCTGTAATAGGAAATAGCGGGAAGATGGACCATGTGAGAGACTGTATAGAGGAAGCCTCCTGGAAAGGGAGGGTAAATAAAGAAAACTGTAACCCTCTCACCTTCTTTCAAACTACTTACTAATTATAAACTGTTAGAAGAAAATTTAATAATTTAGCCTTTTGCTAATAATAAAGCCTGAAACCACAATCTGTGAGAGGATTACAGTGCTCTGACCATAGAAATAGCTGGTGCTTTTAAGCACTACAGGGATTTCATCTGGTTAATCCAAAAAACATCCCTTAAAACAATTACACAAGTTTCTAACACCATCACTTTCCCAAGAGGATAAAGGTACACAACAGAAGTTGTGTGAAATACCCAAAATATTTAGAAAATACCTTGTTCTATTTTTTGTACCACCAGATGCCTGAATTATCAACACTGCTGTAAAGCATACAAAAGTGTAGAAGATGATGCTGGACAGACTATTGGATAAGCCCTGTATTTCACATCCGCACAGTTGTAAATATTATTCTTAGGAATATAAGTCATATTCTGAGAAATCACTGTATATTTTATATACTACCTTCTGAATCCTTTGGATCAGCACAGGAGCATAGATCCTGCTACCATCTAATTAAATGTGAACTACAAGTTCCATTATATAAACTGTCTTTCACATGCTCTGCTTTATTCCTGATATGTCACAGAGGTGAAAAAAATTCCAAAACATGAAAATGAAATTTTCAAGTAAAATCCTGTAGGACCAAAGTTTTCCATGTGTGGTTTCTGCAGGGAGAAGCATAGTTTTAAAAGTCTGAGTCACATCCATATAGTTAGCTTTCAACATGTGTTAAAATCATGCACAAAAGTCAGGGTGCATGCTGCAGTAAGATTCTGTGCACATCTGCAACATAATTTGTCAGGGAATCAATTTCTTTTCACACTTCAACATTTCGCTTCTATGTATTTTTTTTTGCAACTTGCCGAGATCTATTGCCAAGCCAGATTTGACGGAAATGACTTCAGTCATTTGAAACTGAGCTCTTGAAGCTTTTTATGGAACTGAATTGAAAGAATGCTAATTCCATCTGTGTTTGTTGAGAATGGTGGTGATTCCTAAGCACAGCAGAGTTTCCTTGTGAATAGTTAAGTTCAGTTGGGAGTGCTGTGAAATGCTTTAGCTAAATCTAGGCTTCTCAAAAGCCTGACTAACCTGGCAAAGTTTATATTGCTTTCAGGATGTCAGGACAGTGAAAAAAAAACCACCAGGAGGTAGGAAGAGAAGTAAGTGTCACGACAAACTGCCTCCTCAGAAATGAAAATGGCAACAACAGGGTGCCCCAAATCTTCTAACGTTGTAGGCTGAATGCCAGCCTTGTTCCTCCCTCATCAGGCAGCTGTGGCTGGCAAGGTCTGGGAGGCTTGCAAGTGGCTTCTATGAGCAGCTACAGCAGAAGCCCATACCCAACACAAGCCCACCCAGGCTCTCCTTGAGGCTGCCCTTTGCTGGTGCACGCAGAGCAAGACAGCAGCATAGTATCCTACTATGTTTTCTGAACACTACCTATGCCTCCCAATGAACAGAAAACAGTTCCAAACTAAATGCAGGAAATACAGACCTGTGGCAGGACCTGAACCTGGCCAGAGTGCACAAATCCTCTCCTTCCATACCCTGCCCTTTCCTGGAAAGAGATATCAAGGGCTTCCGCAGGCTGCCTGTGGGAGACCCCCAAGTGGTGTGGGTAATGCTCATCCAGCAAAAATGTGCACAGCGCAAGTCACTGCAACATTCCTTGGTGTAAGCTATGCTTAAGAAGTCAGCTTATAACAGGTTCATGCTGTGCATCATGCAGGTGCCAATACTTTTTATTTGAATTGTGTCCTAAGCTTCATGGTACATAAAGCAGCAGGTGAAAGCCAGAATAGTTTGGGAAAGGTACATGAACACAGAAATAAACTTGCAGCCAAAACTTAAATCCCTCCTGCAGAGCTGGAGCTTTGCTCCTGGTTTGCCAAGTACCTGTGCTACTTCTGTCACTGCTATTCTGTGGTGGCTCTGGGTTGGAGATAACCAGAGAGGTCTGTAACCAGGTTAGCACAACCTGACCGTGTGTTTCTCTCTCAGGCCAGGACACTCAACCTCCCTATATATGATCACCACCAAAGTGTCAAGGGAGTGATTTTTGAGTAGGGAGGGAAATTTAGAGGAAGATCTACCTAAAAGTCTACAGCAGCTCTGCAGTGATGAATATCACCCAGTCTGAGCTTGCCAAGCTTGGTATCATTTTGAAGAATGTGTTTTTTTCAGACTGCTATATACCATGCTCAGATTAGACAAAATGGTGTGGACACCTCTCTCCAAGAGTAAGGAAAATGAATTTAACTTAGAAAATGGCAGATACTGATGGTATATCAGAAGTGCACTTTAGTGCCCAAGTCCAGAGCATTTTTTGCTGGAGAACTTTAGGATCAGTCTCAAGAAGTGCATGTACACTCTGGGAGGATCCATATATTATTCCTTTGGATAGAATGTACCACTCCAAAGCTTACAAACAGAAAACCAGAGAAAAGATGGATGACACTATTTTTGCTGGAAAAGCAAAGTTGGAAATAATTAATGAGTTCAAACAGATTTTAAGGTCCATTCCAACCCTAACTATTCTATGATTGTCTCTAAAGTGTCATACACAGAATACAGTAAAATTATGACTGGGTAGAGCTGCCTTTAACATGCCTAAGCAAAGAGAGCATTAGAAAAGACCTGTGTTCAATTACCTCATCTCCGTGTCCTGCAAGCTTGCATCTGTTTCAGTATCAAGATCCTTGTCCTTGGCTATATGGAATAAAATAACAGTAATAGTTTGAGTACCTCATGCTGCCAAAGAGGAACATTGGAAGCATGGAGGCAGACGGCTCACGCCATGTGAGATCTTCACACCCAGAAATGGCAGGTGTGTTTTTGCATTATCTGATTTTAATAGAATTTAAAGAGCATTAAAATGACTAATTTTTCTTCTTAAATCAATTTCAGGCATTTTACCCATGCTGATTGGAGATGCCTTTGGGAAAACTTGTGGGCAGGAACAGCACAACGTGAATTTGCCCCAGGCTAAGTAGGACTTTTTCCCTATTTACATGTTTCTTTTGAATTACAAAGCTTATCAGCTGCTGCTATTACAAGGTCCTGGAAAATACATCTTCTCCTGGGTTACCTATGCTCCTAGTTTCCAACCCAGCCTATGCAGTAAAATAAAGGAGCCACCCCATTATCCTTTGGATACCTTGGGTAATTTTATGGAATCATAGAACTGTTTAGGTTGGAAAAGACCTTTAAAATGGAGTCCAGCCATTAACCAAAACTAGCAAGTCCACAACTGAACCATGTCCCTAAGCGCCACATCTACATGTGTTTTAAGTACCTCCAGGGATGGTGGATGGGATGGCAGCCTGTTCCCATGTTTGACAACCCTTTTCAAGAAGAGTATTTTCCTAATATCCAATCTAAACTTCCCCTGGTGCAACTTGAGGCTGTTTCCTCAAGTCCTATTGCTTGTTACTTGGGAGAAGAGGCTGACAGCTACCTTGATACAACCTTCTGTCAGGTAGCTGTAGAGTGATAAGGTCCCCCGTGCCTCCTTTTCTCCAGACTGAACAACCCCAGTTCTCTCAGCCACTCCTCACAAGACTTGTGCTCCAGATCATTCACCAACTTCATTGCCTTTCTTTGGACACGCTCCAGCACTTCAATATCTTCCTTGTCTTAGCCCATCTATCCAGCCTGTCCAGACGCCTCTGTAGATCCTTCCTTCCTACCCTGAAACAGATCAACACTCCCACCCAACTTTATCTCATCTGCAAACTGACTGAAAGTGCACTTGATCCCCTCATCCAGATCATTGATAAAGATATTAAACAGAGCTGGTGCCAACACTGAATAATGGAGGACACCCCTTGTGACCCATCACCAACTGGATTTAACTTCATTCACCACCACGCTTTGGATCCGGCCATCCAGCCACTTTTTTACCTAGCAGAGTACAGCCGTTCAAGCCATGAGCAGCCAGTTTCTCCAGAAGAATGCTGTGGGAAATGGTGTCAAAGTCTTTACTGAAATCTAGGTAGAAAACATCCACAGCCTTTCCCTCATCCAGTATGTGGGTCACCTTGTCACAGAAGGAGATAATGTTAGTCAAGCAGGACCTGCCATTCATAAACCCATGCTGACTGGGCCTGATCACCTGGGTGTCTTGTACCTGCTGGGTGATAGCACTCAAGATGATCTGCCCCATAACCTCCCATAGCACTGAGGTAAGGCTTACAGGCCTGTAGGTCCATGGATCCTCCTTTCAGCCCTTCTTGCAGAAGGGAGTCATATTTGCAACTTCCTGTCAACTGGACCTCCCTGGTTAGCCAGGATGGCTGACAAATGATGGAAAGTGGCTTGGTGAGCCACCAGCTCCCTCAGTACCCATTGGTGAATCCCACCCAGCCCCACAAACTCATGTGTGTCTTAATGGTGTAGCAGGTCACTGACCATTTCCCCTTGAATTATGGGGGCTTCATTCAGCTTCCAGTTCCTGTCTTCTACCTCAGGGGACTGAGTACCTCGGGAACAAATGTTTTTACTATTACAGACTGAGGAAAAGAAGGCATTAAGTATCTCAGCCTTTTCCTCAGCCTTTGATACTCTTTCCCCCACATCCAATGAAGGATGAAGATTCTCCTTAGCCCTCCTTTTGATGCTAACATATTTATAGAAACATGTTTTAGCATCTTTTATGGCAGTAGCCAGACTTAGTTGGCCTTTGGCACTTTTAATTCTCTTGCTGCATAACTTCACGGCATCCCTGATCAGTCTGCACCTCCTTCCAAAAGTCATAAACTCCTTTTTGTCCTGAGTTCCAGCCAAAGCTCTCTGTTCAGCCAGGCCAGTCTTCATCCCTGCCAGCCCACCTCTCAGCACATGGGGATGGGCTGCTCCTGTGCCTTGAAGATTTCCTTCTTGCAGAATGTCCAGCCTTCCTGGACTCCTGTGCCCTTCAGGCCTTCTCCCAGGGGGCTCTATCAACCAGGCTCCTTCTCTAGTTGGCTCCCTCACCAGTTGTGCCACACACTCCAGCAACCTTCTAGACCATTTTTTGTCTTCTGTATTGTATTTCCAGCACATACCTGGTAAACCAAATTCCTCTGTAAGCGATGGGGATTTACTGGAGTGCAGACGTACACCTTAGCTGCTTAAAACTTAAGCCAGCTATCCTAGCCAAGGAGGTTCTCCCTATCAGAACGGGCTAACAGAAAAAATATATGTATGTAAATCTGGCAAATAATGTAGGTGCTGACTGAATCTGGCAGAGTACAAAACAAAGAAAGGAATAAAGAATTGTTTTTGTTATTTGGATTTTGTGGTTGACTGCTGCAGCACGTATTTAGCAGCTTTAAAAAAAAGTAAGTAAAACATCAACAACTGAGAAACTACTGGAAAGAAAGTTAAGAGGAACTTCTGACAGATAATATGATGCTTCCTGTAAAGCAATGGGAAGAAAGTGTGAACTAACAACAGGATTCAGCTTAATGTGAATTGCTACAGGGAAGGAGCTGCAAGGGAGAGATCCCGCAGCTCAGGGATGGAAATGCCATCTAAGAAAGGGCAGAGCTAATGCAGAGGAGGGATCACTATGGAGACTTTGATTTATTTGCACAGATTTTGTGCTTGGTATGTTAAATAAATAGTCTGCCTTGGCAGTACAACTGTACCCAGGACTCCCAGTGGGAAGGCACAACAGAGTGCAGAGCATTCTGCAACCTGAGAAGTGGATCTTGGTGTTTTCCAATCTCCCAGCGCAAGCCAAGGTAACAAGTACAGGCAAACTTTCTTCTCCTTTAGTCTGGTTAAGGTAAATAAATAAATTGGCAAAATCCAAATACAGAGTAAGTACCTTCCAGGTTTCCAGAACCAAATGAAATGAGAGCTATTCACTATGTGAATACCATGTTCACTTATTGTATGTGTTCAGGTCTTGATTCTTGGTTCAGGATCTGTTTGCCACACATCTCCAGGCTTCATTCACTGGAAATTATCTTGGCTTAAGAATGCCACTTGTTTTTATACTCAGATCAGTTCAGAGTCCAGATCTGAATAAGGAACCTACACTTTCCTCTACTGTGCTCTCCGGCTTTTGGCAGGTAACATCTCTTGGGCCTGACTGTACCTGATTATCACATGCTCAAAGGATAAATGGAATATGCTAACTGCTTCTCAGCAGGGCTATGGACATGTGTCCCAGAGACTAGGTGCTCAGATGTGGCCCTGGTTTAATGAAGTAATCCAGCTATTCTACTCTACTACCTTCACTTAAGCTCACACAACCATTTTAGGTCTCTTGAAAAATACTATTTTCTGTCTTATTTAAAACCTGGATGAGTTCCCTGGTCTGGTTCACAGCACTTTATTGGTACAACTATGAGAGCAAAGCCAGAACATGAGTGAGAAGAGACTGATAAATAAAAAAGGAAAAGCAGCAGCAAACTGCTTAAGTACATGTTGCAATGAATAGGTTGAGCCCTGGAACTACAGATGAAACCTCACATGAACTGTTCACCCATCCTGTGGCAACCAGTCACTCCCTCCCATGGAGCAGAGCAAACTGTCAAATGCTGCATGTGTTGGGCTTGTATTTCTCAAAAATATGCAACTTGCTAATCATACTTTACTGAACTACAAAGCTGAGATTAACACAATAGTAGCCACTTAGGCATAAGAAATGGCTTAGGAGAAAATGAAACCCTCCTGGGAAGACTCTCTTCTTTCCCTTAGAAACATGATAAATACGTATTTCTGCATCTTAATATTATAATGATGTGTATTACCTTCAGATGTTCTCTGGGACTCACACCAGTCTCCATTCTGTCCTTTCCTATGACAAGAGGCAACTCCAGTCTCCAAATGCTCACAGATAAAATACTTCCACTAATATCCTGAGCTTACAAAGATGCAGGCCTTTAGATCTGTAAATGCAAGTACTTGAGATATGGAAATATAAGATGAGAATAGTAACAGAATGGGAGTGTATCAGAGCGAAACTATTAGATACACTTGCCTTGGTCTTACTCTTACTCTTCCTTGTATTTACAGCCGCTGCTGAAGACAGAATGTCAGACTACATGGGCTCCTGGCATACAGCATCCTTAGCAACTCTTAGGTTCCCGTTCACTAGAGGTAATAACATCTTGGAGTAAGTGCCCAAACTCTGACATGGTCAACCTGCCCAAGGACATGAAGCAAAGCTTGAGACATCCGAGAGCTTAACTCACATCCCCCAAGGTATTATTTGGTACTGCATCAGTTAAACAATCCTTCCATTCTTCCTGTCTGAAGACACGGATGATTCCACTTCAGCTGGTTTTAGTGATGAACTACCCTGATGTCCAAGGGGCTATACAAAAGTAAGGGACACAGCTACTCCAGAGGATTTTGCAGGGAATATTCCCGAGATTAGACTGCTGAACAGCTATTTTGACAGAAAAGGATTTATCTGCAAAACAGGGAGATGGTTTCAGGTCTTTGGGGATGGCATCCAATCTTAACTTTCTGCATGTGTGTTTGAACATAAAATGAGGCATCTTTGCCACATTACATGGTGTCTAAGAAAATAAATAAGAATACACGCAAGCAAGTATAAACAGAGCCGCCCCTACCAAAGGATGTTTATGCTCTCAGAAAGCATTGTCCCACAACTCGAGGAAAACATGATTAACAGCTCAGCACTGATCTTAATCAGATTTATTAAGACAAACGTTGAAAATCCAGAGTGTGTGTGGGTAACTAAAGAGGAAAAAAAAAAAAAAGGCCAGATAAAAATGCCCAGAGGGAGTGAGCTAATGACTATCTTCCCATTACCTCATGGGATCATTAGGTCGACATGATCTCGCCGCGGCCAGCACTGAAGCCACCTCCCCGCTGGGACGGAGGCCAGAGGCCCTTTCCCCTCCTCTACACACAGGTGCAGCCCTGCAGCGGGAGGCGCGGGCCCGCGGCCATGTCGGGAGGCAGGGGGCACCTCCTGAGGGGGGCCCCCGACATGGCGGCGGGCGGCAAAGCGGGACAGCCACCCCGCGCCAGGCCCGCTCAGCTCCCCGCCCTACCCCCCTTCCCCCGGGGGGCTGCCCGGCAAGGCGGCATTGTTGGCCGCGTCCATCACTCCCCGTCCCCGGCTGACATAATGAATGAGCTTGGACACACCTTCCAGCCCGGCGAAGAGGCGCGCCGAGTCTCCACGGACAGCCCCACTGAACTCTCCGCTCCGCTCCCCTCAGCCCTCGGGGAGGCGGCCCGCAAGCCCGCCCGGCCCCATAGCCCGGCGCCCCGTCCCAGCCCAGTGAGGGGCCGCGGCGGCTGGGCTGGGCTGGGCCGGGCAGGGCGACGGGGGGTAAGAGCCCTCGCTATGCTGCCCAGCGCCCTGTACTGGGACCTAGTGGGCTCCTCGGCTCTTCTCAACCTGCCGGCAGCGCCGGGCTTCGGCAACCTGGGCAAAAGTTTCCTCATCGAGAACTTGCTGCGGGCCGGGGCGCCTCCGAGCCCTGCCCAGCTCCGTCCCCTCCCCGCCAGCCCCGTCCCCCTCAAGCTGTGCCCCGCGGCGGAACAAATCAGCCCCTCAGGGGGTCCGTACCCGACAAGATGGGCTTTTCAAGTGCTTAACCCCTCCGTGGCGGAAGGCGGCCGTCTGCCAGCGAGGGCTCCGGCGGCGGAGAGAGGCGGCGTCTTCCCGCCGGCAGCCACAGGTGAGCGCAGGCCCCTTCCCGCGTCCCACCGCCGGGGAGACGGGACAGAAGGGGCTTAGCGAGGGAGCGGCGAAGGCCGTGTCCCGCCGGGTGCCCTTGCTGCCGGGGCGCACTGGCCACGGTGGGGCTTGCCCCGCCGCTGCCGGCGGGCCCCGACGAGGCGGTCATGAGGGCGGCTGTGAACGGCGCGGTCCGGCGCACCTGTGGGTGCAGCGAGTGCGCCAAGACTTGTGCTGGTAGTGAGAACAGAGTGCTTTTAAGTGCCCCCAACCGCACCTCTTCCAGGTCTAGTAGATCTTCATAGCCTGGAGGGACGGTAAAAGAGCTTCGTCGCTAACGGGCGCCTCGGGAACGTCTGAAGTGCCTAGTTTCGTGAGAAAGAGCGGTCCCTCTCGGTAGCGATAACTCGGGTGTCCCATCCCTGGCCATGAGTGAGGCACCGGGTTTTTCCCACCAAAAGAGAATGAATTCAAGCTTTAAAGCTGTGTAAAAGGTCTGTAATTGTCTGTAATTAGCCATTCGGTCAGCTGCTGGAGTAAAAGCCAGGGCTTTTCGGGGTGGTGGGAGATGTCCCCCTTCTGGGGACCAGTTTGACCAGTTCTACGGCCACCCGGACTGCCCACGGCGTTGCTGTCGCGGAGGGTCTACTTTCTATCATTGAACTGAAAAATAGTTTCACAAAGCACGTTTCGGTTATTAAATACGCCGGGTTTCATATATTTTTGTCTGGCCATGAACAACGTTTTAAAGCATTTTTAGGAATGTGCACTTCTGTCAGCCATGGAACCGATGGAAGCTGAATTCGAAGTTAATTCACAAAATTCGGTATTAGCCTCACCATCTATATTTTTCCCTTCCGTTGTAATGTATCAATTTATGTCAGTTTTGTGTGGTGTTTTCAGCGTTTTTATTTATGATAATTCTGTTTTAAATGTACTTACAATGAAAATCAGTCAAGCAGAATCGTATTTACTGAAGTAGGGCTCTAAGGTGTGAAACCAAAAGGCCAGAATTAATAACAGAATTAAAAGAGCCAGAATTAATAACGCTTGTTTTCTTTTCAAGCATAGTTTTACTTAAGTTAAATCCTACAAACTGTTCTGCAAAATCCAAACCGATTTTTGATCCATTAGCGTGATATATTTTAAAGGTAGGCAGGAGAGTCAGATAAGTGTACATTAACATTTTGGAATATTCCCGACCTCAGCTGCAGTGTTATCCTGAGCACATCAGTTATTTAAACATGTTTATTTTAACCAGCTATAGAACAGGCCAGGAAACAGGACAAGTGCCATCTTCCTGGAATTAGGTGCGTATTTCCCCCCCGCCTTAAAAAAAACCAAAACCCACTCTCAAGAAAATGCTACAATTTCTGTGTACAGAGTCCATGTTAAAGGGGAGACAGCAGATCCCTCAGCACTTACTGCTATAGGTAAACTTTTTGTAAGTATTACAGAAGTTCCTGACTACCAAGTTTTTCAAATCCTTGCTTTCAGGGTTAGCTCACTCTTTGATTGGCCTCGAGCAGTACTTGTGAAGTCAGCAAAGTGTGGTAGGACTGCCTAGTGATTTGGAGTCCGATCCAGTGTTTCTTTTGATCCCCCATATCCTAGAGATTTCAGAGGAAGCTTTGAGCAAAAGCAGCAGGCTGTTCTGTTTGAGCAGTGAGAAATACTAGGTTTCCTTATGCATTATGCACTCAGAAAAAAACCCTCTCCTGTGACTGCAGATGTACAACAAAAACTCATATATTCTAACAGGGGCCTGTTGATTCTGATCTGATTTATGTGTCTTGAAGTGATGAGGGCTCTTAGGTGTCTGAACTTTGGTGAATGTAAATTAGATTGGAACCGTCCTGCTGAGGCAGATCTCCTCGTTTCTGAGGAGTCTCTTCTCTCTAGTGTAAGCGTACAGTGGGGGAACTGTTCAGACTGGACACTTGCTTTGTAAGTAGGGCTTGGGTGGTCAGGCTGTGTGTTACGTTTCTTGTTTATGGATAGGGCAAAACAGTTTTGCCAGAATAAGAATTTTAGCCTTCATGGACTGATGAAGGTATTTTAACTAAAGAATTTGTACTAGGTAGCAGGCTTTAATTCACTGATTTTTGTCTTTGTTTTTTGAGGAATAAACTCTTTCCTATTTACACTCCCCAAATTACATGGCATTTTAGAAAATCTTGGTCGAAGTCTTTATGAAGACTATGGAACATGATATAGCGATTTTTTTTTAATCTTTCTGAACAAGCAAGTGCTTTATTGATCATGCAGGGATTAAAAGTACAAACTAGCTTGGCATAATGCAGCAGTTAAAAAAATACATATATATACAGAGGGAGAGAGAAAAGAGAATTGAAAAAATACCAGACTTTTTGGAATCAGTAACCTGTATTGCTCATGTAGTCCCTAATTCTGGTGAGGTCACCAAAAGTGCTCAGAAAGGAAGGAATGTAAAATCACACCAGGGACTCAACTGAATAAAGCTGAACGTTTTTACAGTTCCAAAACCAACATGTATCCACAGCACCTACCAAGGAAAGACATTTTAGGGTAACTTCTAACACTCCGTGAAAGTGCTAAAGAACGAAAATCCTGTGTTCTTTCTGTAAACTGGAAGACTTTTATCCATGGCAGCACAGGAGACCATTGGGATGGCACTCTATCTGGTCCATCTGGTCATGGTAGCTTTTCCATTTGTAACTCCTCAGCAGCTTTTTTACCAGCAAGTTTCCATTCCTGTAATTTACAAGATTTAAAGGATTTAATCTGACTATTTCAAGTGTTTTATCTGCCTGTGTATTTTGAGTTCTCATCCAAAATAATCCTAAATGAAAAACTTAACAAGTACTGTCACATCCTAGATACATCATCTAGTGAGTGGGCTTGAAATAAATATTTTTATGTTGTCTGTAAAATATTAAAATAATAATTTTTGATCATTACACTGATTTTTAAAAATAAAATGTAATGAAATCATAGAATCATGGAATGGTTTAGGTTGGAAATGACCTTAAGATCATCTAGTTCCGACCCCCCCAGCCATGGACAGGTTCATAGGTTTTTCAAATGAATTTTGATTTAAGAGTACAACCACATGATCAAGTAACATGTTTCATAAAACCCTAAGAAGGAGAAGCAGAAGGAGCATTATTGCTATGGAATAAACTCACTTGCCTTTTGTGATGCTGTGCCAGTTTATACCAGCTTGTGATTCCCATAGGCTTTCTTCCACCTTGCTACCTTGCTCTGAAGCCCTAGAACTGATGATGGAACACTGAACCGGGCCCACCACCTTTAGCAGGTGCGGTAAGAGCTGGGTTTCTACTTCGTGAGAAATTTGCGTACAGTGTGTATTCATAGTCCTGACTCGGCAGAGCGGTGCAGAATCTAGTTCTGCTTTTGAAACACTGGGTGCCCAGCCTGTTCAAGGATAAAAACTTTTAAAGATGCATTGTTGTAAAGCAGCATTTCCCAGTGAAACATCTTACAGCTATGCAGCTTAAACTTGCACTGCCTCTTAAAGGATGAGGGAAGCTCTAAGTATAAGTTCTGAGCAAACTAAAGAATTCTTAAGCATGGAGGAAGTCCTCAATTTCTGTTTGCTAATCTGGGATTTGGTTCCTCTCCTTTGTACTCCAGTACTGTTATTACCTTCTGGATAAGTTAGAAGACTTGACAGTTTTTCTGTGTTTTCTGACATAGGAAGATTATCTGGAGGATGCTGAGATCCAGTCTGTTGTAGCACAGGTGCTTTAAAGAGGTCCACTCCATGTCTTTCCTCCTGACTTGGTTTCCAGAAGTATTGGCTGACCCCAGGTCAGAGTGACCTTGAGAAATGCGAAGTCACTCTGCTACCTGAAATAATCTTCTGAAAATCTCTGCTTTTCTCAGGTAATTTGCCCTGCGGGAGCATGACAGAGAGTGCTTTACAGCCTGAGTATGGTCATATGTGGTATGACCCTGAATAAATAGATCTAAGGAAGAAATTCTTTACTGTGAGGGTGGTGAGGCACTGGAACAGGTTTCTTAAAGAAGTGGTAAATTCTCCATCCCCGGCAGTTTTCCAGACTAGGTTGGATGGACAGAGCCTTGGGTGACATGAGGCATCTCTGTCCATGCCAGGGGTGTTGGAGCTAGATGATTTTAAGGTGCTTTCCAACTCTAACCATTCTGTGATTCTGCGATTCTATATGGCAAGAACCTGACTTTTTGCTTTAATCTTGGCATTTTGCTGGATTAACAGAGAAATGAAACTAAAAAGTGCAATGAAATAAATAAACATAACAATAAAATAATTCCATTGCAAAAGTTAATGAAAAATTGAGCTTATGGGAGTTTTGCCTAAAGCATCAGAATGAAATAGAGCAAAATAAAGTGCAGTACAGATAACACTAAAGAAAGTCATTAGAACAAGTATATCGTAAATATGAATTGAATTTACAAACATCCATTCTATGATATAGATATATCTTTTCTTTCTGTAACATTTGAGTACTTTACATTTTAATGCATTTATCATTGCAGTGTGCTAGTGAAATAGGAGAGATTTCTACTGTGTAGAGGAGGCGCTGGAGCAAAAAGAAATGAGGTGACTTGCATAAGGTAATCCAGAAAGCTGGTAGCACTGCAGGGGAATAAAAGCAAGCCTTCTTCTGCACGCTAACTCTTTGGACCAGTGTCAGCCTTTTTTCCCCTCAGGTGAGGACAGCAATTCTATCCTGTAACACTCTTATTTGAATCAATATACCTTATTGCTCATTTTTAGTAAAATCTCCTGTGTTTCTTCGTAACAGCTGGGAGCTACTTGAATTACTGAAATTAAGTGATTTTTTTTTTTTCCCCTTCCTTTTTGACCCACTCTTGGTGAATAAGTTCTTACTAATTATTGATTTCAGATCAGCTGGTAGCCACAGTGTGTCCTTGAGTGACATAATACTAACTTCCCTTAAAATAACAGCCAGAGTGTTTCATCTTAGCTCCCTCTAGGCTTGTACCAGCCTCTGGAAAATGCTGCCCTCACTCAGGCAACAAAGTGAGTAAGAGTTCTCAGGATTTTCCTGTTTTGTTGGAGTTCTCTGGGAATAGAAAGTTTCTTTAGGGTGGGGGGATACATTTGACATATTTTCTTATGCCGTGACTGCCAAGCATCGCTGAGACACCTTCATTGCTTCAAGAGTTTGTCTTTGGAGGCAGGGAAGTTTCTGTAAGTATCAGAAATCACAGACTGTGCAGCATCTTTTCCTGCTTGCGGTTAACTTTGTGAGCCATTTAATAGAATCAGTTTGGGGTGCCCAGAATATCTTAAGAGTGGCTACAAAATGGCTTTTAAAGGACAAGTCTTTGTCCTTATTGTAAGGCTGCCAGAGCTAGACTAGTGCCA